TCCAGCAAAATGCCCTTCAGGTACAATGGCAAAATAAAGACACTCTAGGATGAATGAAAAACAAAATATACACTGTTATACACTGAATTGTTACCCCTCCAAATTCATGTGTCCAAGTCCTAACATCCAGTGCTTCAGAATGTGACTAGACATAGGATCTTTAAAGAGGTTAAGTTAAATTAAGTTAAAATGAGGACAGTAGAGTGGGCCCTAATCCAGTAGAACTGATGTCCTTAATAAAGGAGGAAATTAGGACACAGACACAAACTCAAAGCAAGCAAAAGATAGAAAATAACAAAGAGTAGAAATCGATCACATTGAAAAAACACAAATTGAGAAAAACTAATGGAATCAAAAGCTGGTTCTTTGAAAGACCAATATATTTTTTAAAACTTCTAGCCAGACTGACCAAGAAAAAAAAGAAGACAAAAATTACTTACATTGAGAATCAAAGAGGGAATTTCACTACAAACACCACAGACATGAAAACAATAGGGAAAACTAACAATCGTATGCCCATAAATTCAACAATAGCTGAAAGTCCTTGATATGTCTTCCCAAAATTAAATTCATCATTTTAACCCTCCCAGCAAAGAAGACTCCAGGCCTGGATGGTTTCATTACTCAATTCTCCAAGTATGTAAGAAAGGACACCAATTATATACAATATCTTCCAGAAAATAGAAGAAAAGGGAACACTTCTCAACTCCTTTTATAAGGTCATCATTGCCCTGATATCAAAACTTAAGGAAAACTCTACAAAAAATAATGTTACAAAATATGATCAGAATATTACAAGAAACCCATAACAAGCCTTTAACACATGACTTGTGAAACATCCTTCTCCACATCCTATCCCGCTATAATCCTGCAAAACCAAACCTAACTAAACCCCCAAGAAAGCCTTCAGGTACATGTATACAGCTAAGACCCAAGGGAAAAATGCCAGGAACTTCAAGTATCTTACTGTATATCCCCTGATGCAGGGCTTGATGCGTGGAGTGGAGCTTGGGCTGAATTTTAGATCCCATTCACCCTGTTGTAAGCTAAACAATGGTCCCCTCAAACACCCATATCCTAATTCCTGGAACATGTGCATGTTATCTTCTATGACAATTAGGATTCTGCAAATGTAATTAAGGATCTTGAGAGGGGGGAGTTATTCTGTAGTATCAGGTGAGCCCTGAAGGTAATCACAACTGTGTTTTTTAGAGAGAGTCAGAGGGAGATTTGACTGGTGGAGAAGTGAAGGCAATGTAACAGAAGCAGAAAGACATTTGCGGATGCTACACTGCTAGCTTGGAGGATGGAGGAAAGGCCATGAGTCAAGGAATGTAAAGATGGGCTCTAGAAGCTAGAAAGGGCAAGGAAAAGGATTGTTCTCTCAGAGCCTTCAAAGGAACCAGCTCTCCCAACACTTTGACTTTAGCCCAGTGAGACTGATTTCACACTTCCGACCTCCAGAGCTGTAAAAGAATACATTTATATTGTTGTGAGCAACTAGGTTTGTGATAATCTGTCACAGCAGCAATAGAAAACTGGGAACTGGGAACCTTTGTACACAGCCCAATCTGCAGACCAAGATGGCCTGTGGGTAGTCCACTTCCCCTTCTACACACAAACTAGTAAATTAAGACACAGGCTGCAACTGGTTAGCATTTCTTCTTTCTTTATAGTTCTAAGGCCTCCCCCAGCCTGCAGCCTAGGCAGTGGGGCATATATTTTCATTTGTTCTATCTCTGGCTTCTTTCTCTCTGATCCTCACATGTATTGGAAGTAAAGTTCTTTTGGCGGGGAGGAGGCATGAGGCAAACAGCTACCTGCTTTTCTTGGGATACCTCAGAAGAAGGACATCTGGTTATGACAAGATAGGACCTAAGCATTCCTCAGTCTCCTGGCTGAATGCTATTTTAACACCATCTTAACCACTAATGAATTCTAGCAAACTACACATTACTATAAGAGCACAGTAGAGAGAATTATATTAAAAGTGTGTTTGTCATATAGAAAACGATTTACATTAGTGGATTTTTAAATCACTTTTGTCTAATCAGAATTTTTACTGAAATAAAAAAGAAATTATCAGAATGCATTGCAGATGGATGGGGTAAGCAGAGCTCTAAAAGACTTTTGTCTCAATTATATGTGTGAACACAGGTTCTGTGTTGCAATATGAAATATATATTTCTTTTAGTGAGTCTTGGAAGGGTTTGAAAAATAATGGAGCATGTGCTTTCTGATAGCTATCCCAACTTTCACCTCACTGTTCTTGTGAAAATCCAAAGAGAAAGACAAAAATAGACATAGTTCTCTAAAACTGAAAGGGCCTTTTCAAGAAGCAAAGTCCTTCACTTTACTCACTTCTGATAGCTTGAGCTCGTAATGATACTGAAGGAAAGCTATCCAGAGCAGGGGTGCTTAACTTGTGGTCCAGGTGGTCTAGGAAACCTCTGATTGCAAGCAAAATGTTGTATATGAAAAGGGACATATTTTTAGGAAAGGGTCCATATTTATCAAGGATACCCAAGAGAGTCTACAATTGTCCAAGACATTAAAAACCATTGAAACTGGGAAACTTTTGATAGGTTAAACCTTTTTAATTTTTTTTTAATGTTTATTCATTCTCGAGACACAGAGCACAAGCAGGAGAGAAGCAGAGAGAGAGGGAGTCACAGAATCTGAAGCAGGCTCCAGGCTCTGAGCTGTCAGCACAGAGCCCGATATGGGGTTCGAACCCATGAATCACAAGATCATGACCTGAGCCGAAGTCGGACGCTTAACTGACTGAGCCACCCAGGCGACCCATTGATAGGTTAAATCTTGTCTGGCAGTGCCATAATTCTGGGAATGACAGAACTTGATGATAGTAATTCAAATTGATTTAGGAAAAGACATTCTTACTGAGTCTGGCCTAATAACAGGGTTGGACTCATATAAGATTAGCAGTTTAGGTCAATTAAGAAGATATAAAATTATGAAGAATTTTTCTTAAAAAAAACTACATTCTCTATCATATGAAGTCATCTGTGTTAATTCCTGGCTGTAATAAAGTTTGAGGCTTAAAATGGTTTCATAACCTAACTCATATAACCACGTCTCCACCTTAGCCTTGATAGAACAGAAACACAGGGCCTTGACCTCTGTTGCCATGACCCCTTGTCACTCCTCACCTAGATATTTCCTATTTATCCTTACAAACTCATTTCAGGCCTCATCTTCTCCAAAAGCTTTCCCTCTCTATGCCAGGCTAAACTGACTACAGGGGCTCCACCTTGTTCTTCCATAGCCTCCAATGCACAACACTAGTAGGTATTTACCCTGTTACAAGGAGATTCTCTAGTCAAATCTCACCTCTGCACTGCATAGTAAGTGCTCTGAAGGAAGACGGGGACTGATGAGTCTTAATCTCCAGGTCATCAAAAATTAGCTGGGTGTTTGGCACACAGTAAGAGTCAGTATCACTACCAATGGCAACAAACTATAAGTTCAGATCCTACAGTAAAAAAAAACTGTCTATGAGGTTAAATCTTCTCACCTAAACCTACAAAATTGCCTGAAGTCTGTAACAAGGCAGTATATATATATATACATATATATATATATACATATATATATATATTTTTTTTTTAAATGTATTAATACAGTGGCACCTGGGTAGCTCAATGAGTTAAATGTCCAACTTTGGCTCAGGTCATGACCTCATGGTTCCTGAGTTCAAGCCGCGCATTAGGCTTTCTGCTGTCAGCACAGAGCTGGTTTCAGATCCTCTGTCCACCTCTCTCTCTGCCCCTCCCCTGCTTGTGCATGCATGCGCTAAGATAATAAAATAATAAAAAAATATATATATATAAAAATATATAATACAACACTATTATAGTAATTTGTTACATACTAGAGACAAAAAAGTACTCCAAGGGTGTTGCAGGTATGGACTTCAGGTGAGTTAGACTGTACTTTGGGAAAGCCTATCATTTTAAATATTGATTGGTGATGATTGGACATGCATGGAATGATCTTTTGAGAAAAAGCAAGTGGCAGTGTAGGAAGCTTTGGGGGAGAGGTTCCAGACAATTCCAGTCCCTAGGAAGCATACTGGCTTCCACAGAGAAAGATAACATTAGGGCCACCTGGGTGGTTCAGTCAGTTAAGCATCCAAATCTTGGTTTCAGTTCAGGTCATAATCTCGGTTGATGAGTTCAAGCCCTGCATTGGGTTCTGTGCCGACAGCACAGAGCATGCTTAAGATTCTCTCCCTCTCTCTCTTCCCCTCCCTGCTTGAGTGCTCCCTCTCTCTCAAAAATAAATTAAAAGAAAAGATAAAGACAAAATTAGCAACAAAATTTTCCTGATATTAATTTAAAAGGTACTTTCCCTTTAACCATTCAGGGCTCAAAACATTCTTATTTTGTATCTGTGGTAAAAACAATGTGTTGGATGTCTCCCCACATATACTTTTCCCCATTTTCTAAGAAAGATGAGGCAGACAGAAAGCAAATAGTCTAAGGGACTGTATTCCTAGCTTTTGTTTTTCTGATATGTAGACCCCACTCTGCTTTGTTCATTGGTTTGCCTGAGGTAGTAGGAAGGGGGAGGGGGAGCAAGGGTAAAGGATGAAAGTGCATGAACAAAGTTTTTGGTTTAAAACACGCATACCTTAACTGGAAATCAGTCCTTTAGCAGAAAGATATTCCTCTTCCACAGCACATGCAGCTCAAGCACGGAAGCAAGGAGAGAAGGCGGCGGCACCTGGCAGGCCAGCCAGGCTCCTCCCACAGCACCCAAGTAGCCCAACAATAAACCTCTAACGGAATGCTTGACCAGAAGGGCACCAAGGCAATGATATCCCCGGAGGTCCCAACAAAGCTCCAGGTGTGTCTTCAGCTAGAAAGCTCAGAAAGCGTTGCTCTGATCACCTGCGGCAAATAACCTAATCTACCTCTAGAACGTTCGCGTATGCAGTTCCTCCGGGGAGGGAGGTAAGATTTACCATTATGCACAGTCAGTCACATAGAAAATATTTATTAGGACACTATTCATTATACATGGAAAAAAGGATAAAGTTTTCCTGTCTTATCTATGCTGCTGGGTCGGCAGCAACCCTGCGGCCAGAATGAGGCTGGGTCCCGGTCCCAGCCCCCATGGCGGCAGGGTTCTGTGGGGCGGGGGAGGAAGGTAGGTGAGGAGGCCCTGCCTATGTGAATCCAACAAGGGGTTAAAAATCAGTCTACTCCTGAAAGGACCAAAAGAACACAATAACTTTTTCCCTCCAAAGTAAAAATCAGTAGTTTCGCCATCATGCCTCCAACATTTAAAAGATAAAAATTTTCCGGAGGAAAACATAGATCCAAGAGGTGGGTTTTATGAAAAGAACCACGAGCCAGGCAGGTGCTGGTTGAATGGCCACACGTTGCTCCTGCCCTTATTGTTGATGCTCCTCTGGCACTGCTTGCAGCGCAAATATCTCTCGCACTGGTCCAGGATAAAGAGCTTGTTTGCAGACCTGAGGAGAGGCAAGGACAGGCGGTCATTATTAGGGGCTCCCTGAGTCCGTGCTGGGGCCTAGCTTAGAAGCCGGTGCCGGAGAAGTGATGCAGCAGAGAAGGCACATACCTACCATCTAGGAGCTTAATGCCTGCCTGTGAGGGCCCACCTGCCATCTCTCCCGTCCACACGGCTTCCTGCAGCTCACCCCAGCTTGGCATGTTCTGCTGTTGGCATGTCTGCTATTTCCAGTAAATATAAGACTTGGTGCCTTCACAACCGTCTGACCCCAGCGCTTCTCCCCAGCCCCACCCACCTAAACCCTCAGAAAAAACATAACTTGCCCAAGACCACACAGCCAGCAAACAGGTGTCTTCAAAGCTTTGCCATGTGGATACACTTTTATCTGTCAGGCTCTCGGGGGAAAGACAGCATTGAGAGGGAGAGCAGGCCATTAAGCTGCTGGTTAAGTTAAGCCCCAGCAGACAGTTAAGAGTAGACTTACAAGGTAAGTCTAGGAGTCCAGAGCCCTCTGGATGGTTAAGGGTAGGAGAGGGGGTGGAGACAAAGAGTAGGAGGACAAAAGGGGCTCAAAGCAGAGATGAAGGGATGGCAATAATTGATTTTGCATGTCAACAATTTTTCTTGATTATGCAGGACAGTCCCTGGTGTGTTCCCCTACCCTACCAACATTTCTACATGATTGGAATTCTGTAAAAAGGAGCATCAAGAACAGCCTTACAAGGTAAAAAAACAAATAATGTTAGCAGTGTTCAGGGGGGACCTACCTGGCTTGGTTTGGTGTTGGGATGGAGTATCATGTGCTAACTGCATTCATGGGAAGTTTGTTTTTGCTTCTGCTTTGTTTTTTTTTTTAACAGCAACCAATTCCTTCTTCCTAACCTGCTCCTGCTTGAGGCCCTGCCCACAACTTGGCTTCGGTCTTCAGGTAACAGGACATGCTCTGCCATGTCCCTGCTATGTCCCTGCCATATCCTGACACTCAGGGTTGTTTCCTATGTCTCCTCTATCCTTTATCACCACGTTGGCCAAGCAATCTTCCGAAATCCAGCAAAATCTCCCCAGCATTAATGTCACTGCCTTTTACCTGCTTTTCCCCAACATTAAGAAAATGCCCTGAGGGGCGCCTGAGTGGCTCAGTCAGGTAAGCATCCAACGTCAGCTCAGGCCATGATCTCATGGTTCATGAGTTTAAGCCCCACATTAGGCTCTGCACTGGCAATGGGTTCTCTCTTTCTTCCTCCCTCTCTGCTGCTCCCCCAGTCATGCTCTCTCACTCTCTCAAAGTAAACAAATAAATAAGCTTTAAAAAAAAAAAAAAAAAGGAAAAAGCCTTGAAATCCCAGTGCCCCTTCGTCTTCTCTAAGCCAAACAACCCCACTTCTACTTTGGAACTTCATTGCTACATCATCCCTCTTAGTCCCACTGTAACAAAATATGGGTTCTACCCATTAGAAAGACAGGTAAGAGATGCCTTAAAAGAATATCTTGGAACAGAGTTACAAACCAAGACTTATTATGACAAATTTTAACTATGGTAAAAATTAGTTGATATGTGGGAATTTAAAATATTATTTTGGTATATTCAGGATTTAATAACATGTGACTACATAGGCTTGGTCTGTTCAAGTTTTAACATACTATGAAATAATATCTTACATTTGTAAAATATTTTCTTTTTTTAAGTGTAATGTTTTTCCATCTCTTTATTTGATCACAAAATTCCTGTGTTAGCTATGTCAGGCAGGTGTTTACTTTCTTCATCTTACAAATAAAAGACAAAAAGATTAGCTGCCTTTCCAAATTTAGTGTTAATTCTCAAAGCCATGACTAGAGTCCTTGACTCTAGATTGTCAATCGGTAGCTGGGAAGAGGGGATATGGATATAATACATTTCAGGAACATGGTCTTGGGTTGGTTCTGTAACAGGCATTTCATTTTCCCAGTTGCCAATCTTACAACCCCTTGACTCTGCTCTTAAATGACCATTCTGTCAGACTTGGATGTGTCCAGATAGAAACTCCCTCTCCCTGTTTCCAGCTAGTTATTTCCAAGGAGAATTCCTACCCTCCCCCACCCCATGCTTCCCTACCCTCCACAATATGAAAATAAACTACCCTAAACAGAGGCAAAAATTAGGGCAAATATGGCAAGCATATAACACACATCCCAGCATTCTCCAATCCCATATCCATAGCAGACATTTCGAATACATCACCACAGCATTTCCTACTGAACCCAGAATTCTTTTCTCCACCAGGTTCCCTAGGTAGCCACTGCTAATCAATGGGAGTTGGCACTGGAAACCTGTGTGCCATCCCAGGATTCCAGGAAAGTAAACAAGGAGTGGAGGGGGTTTCTCTGCAAAAAACTTCTGGTTCCAATTGGGTATTACCGCTGGAAAGCCTTCTCCTCCATGTCCCGCTGTTTCTTCATTGCGGTGCTCCTTTCCCAGTCCTTCAGCAAGCTCTCGTTCATTCTCTTCACCCGCTCCATCTCAGCCTTTCTGTCTGCCAGGTGTCTGGAGACAACAGCAGAGTCTGGTTTTGTTCACAATCACAATACCAGGGAGGGCATGCACCCACCCTGGAAGCCCCATTCCTTTATGGTAGATTACCCAGAAGACATTCTGGTTTTGTTCACTACTCCTTGAAATACACTGAAAGGAATGAACATTGAGAAAAACACTAAAAATATTATAGGTCTCAAATAGTTTACTGGTCTGGGACCTTTCATCTTCAATTCTGGTTTAAATTAGCAGGATTGAAACCTTTTTCCAATGAACAAATTCAGCCTTTAAAGCCATTAATTTCCTTTGAAGCTAATTTAACTAATCCGAAGAATCATCTCAAATGGATTTCCTCTACTTTAGGTTTCTTTCCTTTTATTCCAGTCACTCAGCTGTCAGTAATCAGCCCAAATTGCTACAGGCATGTTACAAGGCAAAGTAGACAGGAATACAAATGAATGGCTAGAAACAGGGAAAGAAACAGAAGTGACTAGGCAAAACAAAATGAAATCAAGAAATATGTAACATTGTGAAGAAGGTTCAGAAAAAAAAAAAAAAGAGGAATGTCTGGTGAAAGTAAAGACATCAAAGAAGTAATTACGGTGTATCTCTCTTCAAGTACCATTTCCCAGAATTCCCAATGAAAAGTGTCTCTATTACTAGTCTCCAGACACGTAGCCACTGCTGTTGTGAATCATCTTAAACCTGGTTCAAATTATTTATTTATATGTGTCTATTTGCCAGACTGAAACTCTTACCTTCAGTTCTCATTAAAGTCTAGAAAGGACTTCACTAAATGTGCAGGTTGATTTAGCCTGCTCTGCCAGGCTTTGTGTTACAGGCAGCCACTGCCACTAGGTGTCAGGACCCTCTGATAAAAATCAGTAATGGACTGTGTGCTGGTTTGCTTTTCCTAAAATAAACATGGCCACGTTTTCCTCCAAGGAGCATTGAGCAATTCAGCTATTGTGTGGTCATTATAAAGATTAAATGAGATAATATACAGAAAGTACCAATGCCTATAACACAATGAGAGCTCAATGACTAAATGGTACCTATTATATATTTCTTTCATAACCTTTTTTTCCTTTTCATAGTGTTTTTTTTTTAATTTTTTTTTCAATGTTTATTTATTTTTGGGACAGAGAGAGACAGAGCATGAACGGGGGAGGGGCAGAGAGAGAGGGAGACACAGAATCGGAAACAGGCTCCAGGCTCTGAGCCATCAGCCCAGAGCCTGACGCGGGGCTCGAACTCGCAGACCGCGAGATCGTGACCTGGCTGAAGTCGGACGCTTAACCGACTGCGCCACCCAGGCGCCCCCATAGTGTTTTTTAATTGTAACACAAACCACATAAAGTTGACCATCTTAAAAAATTTTAAGAGTACAGATACATAGCATTAAGTACATTTACCTTGTTGTGCGACCAATATCCAGAACTCTTTTTTTTTTTTTTTTTTAATTTATTGTCAAATTAGCTAACATACAGTGTAAACAGTGTGCTCTTGGTTTTGGGGGTAGATTCCCATGATTCATCGCTTACATACAACAGCCAGTGCTTATCCTAACAAGTGCCCTCCTCAATGTCCATCGTCCATCCCCCCCATCCCGGTTCCCCCAACAACCCTCAGTTTGTTCTCCACATTCAAGAGTCTCTTATGGTTAGCCTCCCTCTCTGTGTGAAAGTATTTTTTAAATAGTTCTATACTATTTTAAATAGTATAGAAACTCTATACTCATTAAACAACTTCTCATTTTTCCCTCCCCCTAGTGCCTAGAAAGCACTGTTCTACTTTTTCCATGAATTTGACCACTCTGATAACCTTATAGAAGTGGAATCATACAATATTTTGTATTGTATTATAATGACTGGCTTATTTTACTTAGCATAATGTCATCAACGTTCATCTGTGTTGTAGCATGTGTCATAATTTCCTTCCTTCTGAAGGCTGAGTAATATTCCATTGTATGCGCGTTAACACATTTTGTTTATTCATTCCTCTGTGGCCAGACATTTGGGTTGCTTCCCTTTCTTGGTTACTGAAGGCTGTTATGAACATGGGAGCGCAAATATCTCCTCAAGATCCTGTTTTCAACTCCAGCAAAAAAACTACTAGAACCGATAAATGAATTCAGTAAGGTCACAGGATACAAAATCAATGTACAGAAATGTGTTGCATTTCTATACACTAATAACAAAGCACCAGAAAGAGCAATTAAGAAAATAAACCCATTTATAATTGCACCAAACTTAACCAAGGAGGTAGAAGATCTGTACTCTGAAAACTGTAAAACACTGATGAATGAAATTGAAAATGATACAAACAGGGGCTCCTGGGTGGCTCAGTAGGTTGAGCATCTGACTTTGGCTTGGGTCATGATCTTGCGGTTTGTGAGTTCGAGCCCCGCATTGGGCTCTGTGCTGACAGCTCAGAGCCTGGAGCCTACTTTGGATTCTGTGTCCCCCTGTCTCTCTGCCCACCCCTGCTTGTGCTCTCTCTCTTTCAAAAATTAATAAACAAAAAAAAATGTTTTAAATAAAATGATACAAACAAATGGAAAGACAGTCCATGCTCATGGACTGGAAGAACAAATATTGTTAAAATGTTCATATACCCAAATCAGTCTATAGATTTAATGAAATCCCTATCAAAATACCAAAAGCATTTTTCACAGAACTAGAACAAATAATACTAAAATTTGTATGGAAACACAAAAGGCCTCAAATAGCCAAAGCAATCTTGAAAGAAAAAAAAATCCCAAACCTGGAGGCATCACAATTCCAGACTTCAAGTCATATTACAAAGCTGTAGTGATCAAAACAGTATTGTACTGGCACAAAAAATAGACACAGAGATAGATTAATGGAATAGAATAGAATGACCAGAAATAAACCCACAAGTGTGTGGTCAATTAAACTTCAACAAAGCAGGAAAGAATATTCAATGGGAAAAAGTCTCTTTGACAAATGGTATTGGGAAAACTGGACAGCGACATACAGAAGAATGAACCTGGACCACTTTCTTACATCATACACAAAAATAAACTCAAAATGGATTAAAGACCTAAACGTGAGACTTGAAACCATAAAAATCCCATAAGAGAGCATAGGCAGTAATATTCTGACATCGGCCATGACATCTTTTTAGATATGTCTCCTGGGGCAAGGGAAACAAAAGCAAAATAAACTATTGGGACCATATCAAAATAAAAAATATATAAAGAACTTCTACAACTCAACACCAAAAAACAAATAATCCAAGTAAAAACTGGGCAGAGGATCTGAACAGATATTTCTCCAAAGAAGACATAAAGATGGCCAACAGATAGATAAAAAGATGCTCAACATCATTCATCAGCAGGGAAATGCAAATCAAAACCACAATGAGCCATCACCTCACACCTGTCAGAATGGCTAAAATCAAAAACACAAGAAACAAGTGTTGGTGACAATGTGGAGGAAAAGGAACCCTCATGCACAGTTGGTGGGAATGCAAATTGGTGCAGCCACTGTGGAAGACAATATGAAGGGTCCTCAAAAAATTAAAAATAAAACTACCCTACAATCCAGTAATCGCATTACTGGGTATTTACCCAAAGAATATAAAAACACTACTTTGAAGGGATATATGCACCTCTATGTTTACTGTAGTGTTATTTACAATAGCCAAATTATGGAAACAGCCCAGGCATCCATCAATAGGTGAATGGATAAAGAAGATGTGATGTGTGTGTGTGTGTGTGTGTGTGTGTGTGTGTGTGTGTGTATACATATACACACATACAATGGATGTTATTCAGCCATAAAAAAGAATGAGACCTTGCCATTTGCAACAACACAGATACGTCTAGAGGTTATAATGCTAAGCAAAATAAGCCAGTCGGAGAAAGACAAATACCAGATGACTTCTCTCATATGTGGAATTTAAGAACCAAAACAAACAAAAAAAGGGGGGATAAAGAGAAAACAAAAAACAGACTCTTAACTATAGAGAACAAACAGGTGGTTACCAGAGAGAGGTGGATGGGGTATGGGTGAAATAGGTAAAAGGGATTAAGAGTACACTTACCTTGATAAGCAATGAGTAATGCATGGAATTATTGAATCACTATATCGTACATCTAAAACGTACAATGTTATATTACACTATATGTTATGTATAACATTTCATGTTAACTATACTGGAGTGAAAATAAAATAATTTTTTAATTTTCTAAAAAGGATCCTGCTTTCAATTCTTTTAGGTATATACGCCCAAGTGGAATTGTTGAATCATATGGTAATTCTATTTTTAATTTTTTGAGTAACTGCCATGCTGTTTTCCATAGCGGCTGCACCATTTTACATTCTCATCAATTGTGCCCGGGGTTTCTATTTCTCCACATCCTTACCAACACCTACTGTTTTCTGGGTTTTGATAGGAGCCATCCTAACGAATGTGACCCTAGTATCTTTCTCTTTTTTCTTTGGTTTTAGTTTTTGCGTTTGTTTTTGCTTCCCTTAGTTTTCTTTATCTTTCCTTTTTACATCATAATTGCATCTTAATGGTTTTGTCTACCACTGAATCAACAGTTTTCTTCCTTTCTAATCTTTTGCATAGTCTAAAAGAAGTACTTGTTAAATGTTTCATGGTGCATGTGGTATAAGAAAAATCTATAATTATTCTTGATTTTGACATTTCACAAGACAATCAAAGCACAGATTTTATAATACAAAATACATGATAGCACATTTGATCTTTGCATTTGTGAAACCTTAAGATGTTATTCTGCAAACATATGTTTTCTTTGCATAAAGCCCTAGGGGGAAGAAAAGATAGCCATCTCACCTGTATACATTACAGTGATATATAGATCTTAAACAGTGTAAGATTTTTTCTTCCATCTACATAAATGAGTTGCAAGGAGAAAAATGAACAATTTGCTAACTGCTTACTTCATTCAGACTGTCATAGACTTGGCCTCCAGGATGGATATGTGATTGGAATTAAATTATTAAATTGTGTAATACAAAACACAGCTACATTTGCAATCTCACCATCCTACTTTGCTACCTTTATTCACTGGAGTTGATTTTGCTACCTTTATTCACTGGAGTGGAGAATCCCTGTCTCTCAGGTCTAGATAAGTAAATATTCAGTAAAACATGAAACACTTCTTAGCTTGGAGAGGCACACATTTAGTTAAAAGCTAAATGACATCTATTCCAAACAGTACAAACAATGACAGCTGACAGCCGAATAAGGCTGACCTGCCCACGGTTCAGAAAGTGGAAACAATGTGTTAGTAAGCAGCTATCTCACTGTGGCTTTGATTTGCATTTCCCTAATGATTAGTGATGTCGAGAAGCTTTTCAAAAGCTTTTTGGCTATATTTGTATTCTTCTTAAAAGGATAGTTTAAAAATTCAGTTTAATTTAGATGCTAAGAAAGTGAGAAAATGAAGTGGGGCTACAGGGGAGGCAAACTAGGATTCCCACAAGACTGCTGTTGGAAGCAAATTGCCATACCTTTTTAGAAAGCAAACTGTCAGTATCTGGTGACATTTAAAATGTGCCATACGCTGGCATCCAGCAATTCCACTTTTAAGATTTTATCCAATGGAAACAAAAGAACCAGTATGAAGATATATATTAAAAATGTTTAATGCAAAATTGTTGTAATAGCAAACCATCTGGAAACAGAGTGAATGTTCATCAATAATGCAAAAGTTAAATTATAGCAATCCATATTATAGATATCATGCTGTTTTTGAAGAAGAATGAATTTCATTTCTATGTACTGATCTGAACATGAACTAATGATGCATTATTAGGTTAAAGAAAGATTGGGCTGCAGAGTAACGTATAAGATCTCACAGCTCTTATTTTCATTTACAAAAATGGAAGGAAAAAAAATATATGCATCTTATTTGAATATATTTGTAAAGAATAGAAAAAATATAGAAGGCTAGGGGGAGATTATTAACTTTTTTTAATCTCTCCACCAATTGACTTTTTTTTTTAAGTTTATTTATTTTGAGAGAGAGCAAGAGAGAGCATGCGGGAAAGGGCAGAGAGAAAGGGAGATAAAGAGAATCCCAAGCAGGCTCCCTACCATCAGTACAGAGCCCAACATGCGGCTCAAACTTAGACACCATGAGATCATGACCTGAGGCAAAATCAAGAGTCAGACACGTAACTGACTGAGTCACGCAGGCGCCCCACCAGTTGACTTATTTTAATAAGCATAATTTGTTATATTTTTTATAAACAAAAGCGGAAGAGTTTAAAAAAAAAGAAGTAAAAATACTTTAGCAGGCCTGTTTGTTTCATAGTGACTAAATGATCCCCTCTGAAAGAAAGTGACCCTCTACTTGCCGTAGGAGGGCCTCAGATGACATCCTGAGATGGACCAGAGACAGGGAAGTTGGAAAAGAAAAGTGAGAGAATATGGAATAACTAGTAAAGGATATAGAAACAGGAGACAAGGACCTGACCCCTACAGAAAAGGGGGTCTGTGACCAGAGCTTCAACAAGAGAGATAACCAAGTAAAGACCTCAGTTCATATTTGTTCAGAGCTTTGCGGTTACCAAAAACGTTCTCAAATACATACTCATATAATTCTCACAGTAAGGAGAGGTAGGGCAGGTATATTATCCTTATGTTTCATGTGAGGAAAAGAGGGCCCAAAGAACCCTGTGTGTGTGTGATTTGGCCCAGGTCATGGAGCTTGGAAGTGGACAGAGTTTAACATCACTCATCATCAGAGAAATGCAAATCAAAACCACAATGAGCTATCACTCTATACCAGTTAGAATGGCTAAAATCAAAATGACAACAAACAACAGGTGCTGGTGAGGATGTGGAGACAAAGGAACCCTTGTGCAGTGCACTGTTGGTGGGAATACAAACTGGTGCAGCCACTATGGAAAACAGTATGGAGCTTCCTCAAAGAGTTAAAAATAGAACTACCACAGGATCCAGTAATTCCACCTTTGGGTATTCACCCAAAGAAAATGAAAACGCTAATTCAAAAATATATATGCACCCCTAAATTTATTGCAGCATCATTTATAATAACCAATATGTGGATGCATCCAAGCATCCATCAATAGATGAATGGATAAGAAAAATGTGGTGTATATATACACACACACATACACACACACACCATGAAATATTACACTGCCATAAAAAAGGATGAGACTGTGTCATTTGAGATGACATGGATGGACCCAAGGAGTTTTATGCTAAGTGAAATAACAAGTCAGACTGAGAAAGACAAATACCATATGATTCTACTCATGAGTGGAATCTAAAAAAAAAAAAAAAAAAGAATAAACAAACAAAAAAGCAGAATCAGCTCTATAAATACAGAGAACAAACTGAAGGTTGCCAGAGGGAAGGGGGGGATGGATGATCAGGCAAAATGGGTGAAGGTGAGTGGGAGATACAGGCTTCCAGTTACAGAATGGTAAGTCATGGGAATAAAACGCAGAGCATAAGGAATACAGTCAATGATATTGTACTAGCAATGTAACGGGACAAATGGTAGCTACACCTGTGCTCAACATAATGTATAAACTCATCAAATCAAAAAAGAAAAGAAGGAAAGGAAAGAAGGGAAAGGGAAGGAAAAGAAAGAAACTGGGTGTTTGATGTTTGAATTTAAAGGTATTTGCATTGATAAGGCATAAAGTCCTCCTCTGCCTACCTTCACCATCCCTCACCAGCCGTCATCAGTGCAGCTTACTACATGAACGGTTCTTAGGAGGAAGAGGGTTTATTGGAGAAACGACCCAAGTTTCATGTCTGTGTCTAGTTGAGAAAAATAGCTGCTTTGTGGCTCACATTGTATTTCCAACAAGTGGACAACTCTTTTAAGAAGTTGTACTGTAAAGGGAAGGAAAAAATATGGAGAGGTAACTGGTGAGAGGGGTGGATCGAGACTGGTTGGTTGGGTTGTTTTTTTAATCAATAACCTTTCTTCATTGAGTGAATTGTGAGGACGAAACAAGATGAAGTTTGAAGGATAATATTTTGTACATAGTAACTCCTCAATGTGTTCACTATTATTGTTTCTGTGCTGTTGTAGGAGAAGGAGAGAAAGAGAAGGGGAATGTGGAGAGGGGAGCAGGAGAGGAGGAGGAGGAAGAAAGACCTGGCGTCCCTTACTCTTTTTGTGTCCTCTGAAGCATCTGCAAATCCTGCTTCTGGCCCACCAGATGCTGCAACATGGTTCTTCTTTTCTGGCTAGCAGCGGTCTCCATCTGGTGCTTCATGTATTTCTGGTCTCGCTTTCGCTTTTGCACCATCATTTCACTCTCATCCTTAGCAAAGATGGGTTCACAAGGTTCTGGCTCAATCGTGGACATTTGCATGGATTTATTCTTTATCTGAAACAGGGACACATATAATACAGATCAGAATGATACCAGGCAATAAACCTTACACACAACAGTGTAGCATAGTAAAATACCCGTCCCTTAGAGGCAGGAACAAGGGCTGCAAAAACCACCAAATGGGTAACACACAAGGCTACAGTTTTTATACGTATTTTTAGAATGCTACTGCAGAACTGCAGAACTTTGAAATAACAGTTGTCCCCTTACCTGTGCATCCAAAGCTCTCTTATAACACTGGGTGTTTTCCATCTTATCTCTGATGTATTTGGCTCTCTGTGCATCAAGTCTAGCAATTAAAGATAAGAGGAGGCGGGGGCAACGTTCGTTATTGTCTTCAGTAATACAGATTAACATCACTAAAATGTATTTAATAAGTATCAATAGGAGTGAGAGCCTGGTAAATAAAAAGTGGCATTTCTTTCTAGGAGCTTCCATTTTAAGAAAGAAAGGAGTAATTCAAATGCATAGGCTAGTGGACAATGTGTTGAATAGAGGACAGACAGGACAAGTGTAAGCACAGGAATGACCATTTTGTCCAAATTCACTACCACTAAGACAGGTCCTCCTTCACCCTCCCACCACCCCCCCCACCACCCCCCGCCACCCCTGTGCTTTAAAAAACCATGACAGGAAAGCAGGAAGTGTCTATTTCTTCTACAAAACGATTCACCATAAGACTCCTTTTTAAGAAAGTGATATTTCCTATTATAAATTATGATTCTGTTATATGCAACCTAGAGGGAACCCATATGATCTATAAAGCGAGTATAATGGAACATAAACATTTTGTAGAAAAATAATTTTTCAGTCCCCAAAGCTAGCTTATTATTTGTTTTAGGAGTCTCTCTCACACTACAGTAGCCTCTTTAATTTCTCTCCTGACCTCAGTAGTAGAAGTGTGACTCGCCCTTAGGCAGGTTTGAACTCTGACCCTATCCCAGACCTCAGATGATCTGAACAATACCAATCAGATTCTCTTTCCTGAATATTCAGGATTGAGACTAACATTCATCCAGGTTTGAGCTAGAATAAAGATGATGTCTACCAAGGAGCTATGGGGGTGAGCAGAGGGAAGGATTCTTTACATGACTTTTTAGTCCTTGATTCTAGTCCTCTTAGATCCCCTCTCCCCCACATTCCTGTCCCCGGGTTCCCCTGTGAGATACCGGTACTGACATTAAACCCCAGCTTTGACTTGAGATTGACTGGGAATAGCTGGGAATAGTGCTTGTTCAAGACAAGTTCCCTCCTTCATCTACCAGTATTAGTGATGACAAAACAATACAAAATGATTCTCTATAATTAGTTATAGATTGGTATCACTATAATGATAATTATAATAATGACAACTTTTTTTCATTTTTCTAATGAAATGTTATGCTGAGGTACTGGCTGCCAGCTGGGTTGGTTGGCTCAGTTGGTTATAGTTGTGCTAATGAAACTACCAATGCTGATTGAATCCCACATGGAAATAAGCTTCACGTGAAAATTCTGAACCCGTTTTTAGAGCCTGTCAACCAGACTCACTCCTCTGTGAGATGCTTTTGTTCTAGGCGGCCCATCAGCTCTCTGTTTTGTCTTTGCTTTATTTGCTTTTCCCGTCTGTTATCCATTTGTTTCAGGAGACTTTGGGAATATTCTTCTTGTTTAAAAGCATTAATCTCAGAACTGAGTGGCCGTTTATCAAATAGGAAAGATTTCTGGAATGAAGGAGAAGCAATTCATTTACTTTAAAATACCAAAAAGCAACAAAGAATAAAGGTAGTAATTCAGAAAACTAAAATCCATGATTAACTTATAGTATTTGCAGGTATTAGCAACAGAAATTTTGAAAAGACTCACATAAAATTCAGGTTTCTCCTTCTTGTGGATTCTTATAGCATCAGCAACTCCAAGATTATAGGCAGCATTTTTTTGATTCTGTGCTCTATTAGCCAGATTTCTCATCTTTGAAAACAAACAAACAAAAAATTACGTACTGAAAATACAGCCTTTAAAAATTTAATTCTAGGGGCGCCTGGGTGGCTCTGTTGATTGAGCGTCCGACTCCGGCTCAGGTCATGATCTCGCGGTCTGTGAGTTCAAACCCCACATTGGGCTCTGTGCCAACAGCTCAAAGACTGGAGTCTGTTTCAGATTCTGTGTCTCCCTCTCTCTCTGACCCTCCCCTCTTCATGCTCTGTCTCTCTCTGTCTCAAAAAAATAACATTAAAATAAACATTAAAATAAAAATTAAATAAAATTAAATTATTTAAAATATTTAAATTATTTTATTAAATTATTATTATATTAAAATAATTAAATTATTTAAAATAAAAATTAAAATAAAAAAATAAACATTAAAAAAATTAATTCTATTACATTATAATAATCCAGCTGAGGTAGAAACTTGCCTTTTGGAGGCAATGGTACTTTCTCTAAAGCTTCATAGATTTATAAAAGTGGGTTGGGGAAGGTTTTTTTTCTTTTTTCCTGTTTTGCGGCTTTAGGCAGCACCTCTGTGGGGATCGTAAGAGGGAATGGAAGATTTCTTAAGTGGTTACCTGGTATCACAAATGCAGGAAAGAGCAGTATGGTCAACTATGGGAGACCACAGAAATCTGGACAGTGCAAATATGGGGGTACCATCCTCTCTTTGCTTGCTTGAGATAGGCCATAGATTTGAAGGGGAAAGCCTTGGTTATGTTGTATTAGAAATCACAAATAAAACCATATAAATCCAGGAGTTCCACCTTTAAAACTAAGTCCTTGGGGGTTGGGGAGAGGGAGAAATCAGTGGCAGGTACAAACATTCAGCTGCTTGGACATTCATCCCAGTGTTGCTCACTATTATGAAAACTTGCATACAACCCAAGTTTTAGTCCAACAATAAGGAAATGATTAAATACATTACAGTACAGACATATGACGGGGCATTTAACGTGGCCCTTTAAAATCATGTTCCTACGGTCCCATTCTTCAGTCGGAGTGTTGAACTACCTGGTGTTTCTGGAGCTCCTCTTGATCCTTCATCATTTGATACTGCCGAATGTGTTCCTCATTTTCTCTCTCCCCTCTCTTCCTCTCACTGCTGTGGTGTCGTGGCAAATTGTGCAGCGCTCGTTGCAAACACACATAACACAATTCCTACAATACCGAGTTTGAAGACAAACTGAGTTTTTTGCCTTTTACTTGTTTTCCTTCACATTCCCTTCACAAGCTTTCCAGAGACTGAGTATGTCAAGCAACATACTCTATAAATGAATGTATTGATGGCAATTAGAAACATGAGTCTTCAAAGTGGGCTCCACAAATATCCAAGAGGATTTACTGAACTCTCATTTGATCAAAAGTATTTATAGCAGGTGGGCCTGGGTGGTTCAGTCAGTTAAGTATCTGACTTTGGCTCAGGTCATGATCTCTCATGGTTTGCAAGTTCGAGTCCTGCATTGGGTGAGCCCCACTTCTCTCTCTCCCCCCCCACTGCCCTTGCTCACTGCACCCTCTCTTTACCTCAAAAAAGAAATGTATTTGTAGCAAGTGAAAATTAGAAAGAGATATACCAACCCTACTTGTGTTAACCCTAGTAGATTTTAATAATAGATATGTTTATTGGAGTCTAATTTGGGGTCCTGAGTATTTGAACCATATCCATACATTGAAAAAAAAAAAGCAATTCCCATAACTCTTACTGAGAAACAGAAGTCAGAAACAGAAAGAGAACTTTGTTTGAAGACACTGTACCTGCCCTGCCTTAGTATGATCCTGGCAACCAGTGGCTGGAGAAACGTTATGCTTCATTTTATTGTAATCTTTCAAATAACGTGGAGATGATAAGCTATAAAAACAGTGCAACATGAATTAATGTTTAAAAGTCTGACATGAGCTATGATAATTTGGGAAGCAAGCACAAATATAAGGGAAAGAAAAATAATCTTAGCGATCTTTCTCAGAGGATCTATATGTATTGAGGTTAAGAATCCATGGTTTGTGTCAAATAAACTGGGGTTTGAATCCCAGCTTTTTTGCTTACAAGTTGACTGGCATTAGGCAACCTGGGTCATCTTGCAAAAAATCTGTTACCAATGCTATGAAATGGGTATAAAATGTATTCATTCTACAAAATGTATTGTGCTTATTATATGCACTATTTTAGGCATGGGAGATGCAGTAAAGAACAAAATATACAAAAGAAAAAGAAAAAGAAATCCTTGTCCTTATGGAATTAACATTCTGATAAGAACTGACAGCCTGCTGATAAACAAGTAAGTCAATTCAATAGTATATGTGATTGGGTGGCTCAGTCAGTTGAGCATCTGACTCTTGATTTCGGCTCAAGTTATAGTCTCAGGGTCCCCACATCAGGCTCTGCTCTGAGTATTGGAGTCTGCTTGTGATTCTCTCCCTATCTCTCTGCCTCTCCCCCGCTCACACACATACTCTCTCTCTCAAAATAATAAACTTATTTAAAAAATAGAATGTGTGAAGGTGATAAATGCCCTACAATGCTGGAGGGATGGGGTATTGAACCATAAAACAGAACGCCCATGTAAGATGTACCAAGAAGGTGATATTTCAGTAAATAGCTGAAAGAAGGAGGGGTTAAAAATAATCAAATATCTGATGCAAAAAGCATTCCAGGCAGAGTGAATGAGTACAAAGTCCTTGAGGTGGGAGTGTACCTGTGCTCAAAGTAGCCAGTGAAAGATGAGATAGCAGACAGAAAGTAGGAGAGAGATCAGAGACCAAACAGGCTCTTGGAGGCCATGGCAAGGGCTCTGGCTTTTACCCTGGGTAAGAATGGAATCCATTGGAAGGTACAATGTCCAGTATTAACAAAACTATGGAGAAGACAGCAGTCCCTCATATTTCTGCTACTGGGAAGATAATTTGATATAACCTTCCTGAGAATAATTGATAGCATGTATCAAAGGCATGAAAAATGGGTTCATCTCTTACCTCTAAAATTTTACTTTAAAGTTTTTATTCTATAGAATATTCAGGTGCATGCAGAGAATTATGTGTAGATATATTGTCACAGTATGGTGTATAATATTAAAAAACTAAAAATAATCTAAATATCCAAAAGGAGATGAGTTAAACAAAAGGTTTAATTAATGAAGTGATGTGCAATTATTTGTTCATGTTCTGGGACATTCAAAGCCATGGGAAAATGTTAACCACTTATTGTTGAGTATAACAAAGTTTCATATGATATGATCTCAGTTGTACTTAAAATGTGTGTATATGTTTCAAATATAAATATATTGGCACAAAAACAGACACATAGACCAATGGAATAGAATAGAAAC